TGGCTGGAAGTGGAGCTGTGGCTCAAGTGGTAGAATGCTAGCCTTGAGGGAAAAAACCTCAGGGACAGAGCCCAGGCTCTGAATTTAGGCCCCAGGACTAGCACAGAAAACAACAACAACAAAACAAAACAAAACGCTACAATATACTAGCATCAAGGGCTTCCACGTTCCATGGCATTTAGGAAATAGTGTTAGTTCTTGCAGCTACAATTTGTAAACTCAAATCTAAATGCACACATAACAAAGAGAACAGACATGGAGAGAGGGCTGGCAAGGAGAACAATATTTCTCCAAAGTACTCTGAACTTAGCATTGATCAGAAGCTAACTCAAGATCACAGAGAGAAGCACCTTTTGTCAGTGCTTTTCCTAATTATTTTTGTCGAGATAAAGCTCCATTTAAAACATAGAGGCCAGCACAAATCTGGGGCTGTCAGGATGCTGAATATGGTCCAGCTAATGAATAAAAAGTGAACCTTACCCAAAAACTGTAAGTAATTTTCTAGTGACTAATTTTCAAAGTCATATAAGAGACTTTTTTTGTAAGTGGCAAGACAAAGGAAATGAGGAAACAGGAACAAGTTGCTTTTAAAAAATATATCCAATTTTTAAATTTAATTTGCCATGAGTTTGCTTCCTGAGAATTAAAGTGGGTTTCTGAACATTTCACTTCAGTAAAGGCAAACCATTTTCATTAGAAAATGGAACAGCTGCCATGCTCTCCCATCATTTGAAGAAACCCAGCTCTCAAGTAAAGTTTTTGACTTGACACATTCCCATCTCTGCCCATTCTTCTACCTGATTCCTTTGGAAAGAAGAGCCAGTCAAAAATGCCCCTCAGTAGATGAATGGATCAAGAAAATGTGGTATATATACACAATGGAATTCTATGCCTCCTTCAGAAAGAATGACATCACCCCATTTGTTAGGGAAAGACTTGGAAAAACTTATATTAAGAAGTAAGCCAGCCCCAAAGAAACATAGGTCCCAAGGTTTCCCTTATTTGCAATAACTACTATATGTCTGGGACAAGCAGAAAAGTTCAGACAAAATGATGTTAAGCAAAATGAACCCCAAGATAGAGACACAAGTGGTTTTTTTCTTCCTTCCTAGTGTTTCTAACGTATTTATAAGGTACCATATGATTTTTTTGTTGCTTTGTATGTCCCTCCCCCACGGTCTAACTTCTGTTTTCACTGTATTTGGTGTTGGTATAATTTGGGGAGGTGAGGGGAAAAAACAAATAAATAGGGATACAGATTGACCCCTTGCAACAATGAGATGTACAAGACGCTATGTCGAAAAACAAACTTAACAATTTACGCTGAGGAGGTGGGAGGGTAGGGATAGTAGGGGAAAAACAAAGGAGGAGGCAACAATGCTGGATAAGAAATGTACTCATTACCTTGCTCATGTAACTATAACCCCTTTGTACAGTATTTTCACAATAAAAAAAAAACTGTAAAAAAGAAAAGAAAACTTGCCAGTCTGGCACAGACGTGAAGTGTCTCATATTCTTTCGGACATCAATGTATACTCAAGAAAAATGCTAATTGTTATCATTAGGAATAAAGTTTATCTTAAATGAGGGGGGGAAAAAGTGGTTAATACCTGAAATCTTTCTTACACCAAGACCATGAGTCAGCAGGAAGGACCCTACCTAAGACACCTGAAGCAGACCCTCAGCCTCCTCAGTTCCTCATTAAGCCCATGAGTGCTGGGCATCAGCTTCCTTTGCCTCTTTCCCTGTCGCTGAGCATGGGGTTGGGGATGGATAGTGAAGACGGCAGCTGGGCCAAGTTCTTGAGTTCTGAAGCCATGCGTAGCGCATCCGAAGACACTGTGTCCTTAGCAACAACACAGTTTCCCTTAACTCTGGGTTCTCATCCACACAACATTTTATGTTCTCTGCAGGGACAAAAGGTCACTTTCACCCAGAATGTTCAGAGCCCCACATTTATAGGCCTAGTTAAAACACACCCATGCACACACACACACACACCCCTATCTTTTAACATAACCCAAGGAAACAATGATAAAATAATCCTCAAAGCAGAGAATGGTACCCATGAAAGGAGGGAGTGATGGGAACCTAGGAAAGCAGTTTGCATTTACCTTCTTAATGAATGCCACCGAAAACGTGTCCCAAGACACGATGCCATGATCTATGAGCTCTACAAAGGCCATCAACGTGAAGGACAGCATGTCCCCAAAGCTGTAAAACATGGGGGGGGGGACACACAGAGTCAATGCTGGGCAGTGGGGAAAGTGCACAAGTGAGCCAGCTTTAGGAAGCAGACCCAGACCTCTGGACAAGCAGCTGGGCAGTCAGACCCACTCCACTGGACAGTAGCTGGGCAGAGTCAACAGCTCAAGTGCCAGGCTGGCAACAAACAGGACAGGAAGGGACAGGTGCTTGCCG